ACTCGATGGCACCCAGTGACAACAAGGTTGTGTCAGTCTCTTGTGTTCAGATGGGTCTCGGGAAGCCATTTAACCTGCATGCTGGATTAGCCAACCCTGTCTCTCTTCTCTGTGAGCTAGCTAATGCCACCGCATGGCCAGCCGCTCCGGGCTGACGGGCGACTCTCCTACTGGCCCGCCACCCTCTGCTCCTACTCTTCATGCTGGGTGCTTACCAAGAGGATGTTGTTGCGTTTGTTCCTGGACCTGTCTGAGCCATTCGTGTTTGTGATTGAAACTGTGTAATTTACACGAATGTGATGTAAACCGAAGAACTCCGAGACAAGAGAGAATTGGTATTTCTGGGAGCGGATGCTTTGGAAAGAGTAGAGTGCTAAAAAACGTTGAGTATGAAAAGGGTATGGACAAATCCAGTATGTGTCCTAAAGAATTCTGAAATCACAAGACCTTGGGTCATTTTAAAGAAAGGAACACGGGTACGATTTTCAGAAGAGAACGTGGAATTCTGGGGAGCTCTAGTGGGGGTGCCCACATTCAAAGAATCCATCGGGGCCCCACTGCAGAATACTGGCATAACTTTAAATCGTATCCATGTAAGATTGCAATTTATAGGATTCAAATTAAAATAACAATTTTAAGTTAGGTAGATATTTTTTGATGATCCCCTATGATAAATTTTCCAATTAATTGACCACCTCTTAGTTCCAGATGTGAGCTTCTCCTCTGTCTTCTCTTTTCACCTATTCCTACAGACCTCAGAAAATTCTTGTCCGACACCAATAACCATTGTAAAAAGTACCTGTTAAATTTCAAGTATTCACAAAATTTTTTAAAAAAAACATTGCCTTTGAGCCAATTCTGACTCATAGCAACTCTACAGGACTGAGTAGAGCTGCCCCATAGGGTTTCCAAGGCTGTGATCTTTACAGAAGCAGACTGCCACATCTTTCTTCTGTGGGGTGGCTGGTGGGTTTGAACTGCCTACCTATCAGTTAGCAGGTGAGAGCTTAACCACTGCACCACCAGAGCTCCTCTATAATATAAAACCAATAGGAAGACTGGGAAACAGAGTTTGATAAGCTATGTCTAACTGGGTTGTAATATCGAGGACTTTATTTGAATGAAAATAGGAACATTCAATGAAATAGCAAAGGCTGGGGACTGTGGGAGTCCTGCAGAAATGTCAATGCACACAAGGTGCCGAAGGCCTGCTCCGCCAGCCTCCAGAGTAACTTCTGTTTGTACCGGGGATTTGAGGGTTGGTTTTTGGTTGCCGTTACCTCTCCAAAGGGAGTGATTTTAAAATACTTTCCTGAAAGGGAGACCTATAACTCTGCTTTTTCTCTAGCCCCACCTTGTCCCAGATGCTTCGCTCATTTCCAGAGGGCCAACATTGTGTCGGGCTGGGAGCCCTCACCTCCATTCAGTTTCTGAAGAACCCCAACCCCAACTTGCCAGTCCCTACGATCACGTCCTCCATGACAAGGACTCTGTGACTAGACATGCGTCTTCCCAGTTCATACAAGATAACTAAAGTGGTCACAGCGGCTCAGTCCCTCTATCTGATGAATTCCCCAAATTTTGGCAAATTGCTGTGGCACGGTTCTTTTGGAAAGTTGGCCCAGTGACTGGTGCCTTAGGATGCACACAAAATGTTGGTTGAGCCAGTTCTTAACAGTCACCCCTCAAGACTAACTCCCGCAAAGAGGAAGCCCTGTCCTTCACAGACATGCTAAATCACTTTTAATACCACTTTTTATAGAAGTTACTTCTGGACTTAGAGCTAAATTTATTGAAATTACTCCAGTCCAGTTGCACAATGCCCTAATACATTCTTTTTTCCAGTCACCCACAAAATAGCTTTAGACGCAACAAGCTCAGTCTTTCTCTGAGCTTTCTCTGGATATCTTTTCTCACTTCTGCTTTGCTGAATTGAAAGACTGGATGAGGTTTTGCTCCCAAAGCAAGAAAAGCTAAACTGTGAGGATATGCCCGCCGTTCTCTGTTCTTCACTCCCCCCAACCCCGATTTCCTGATGTCAGTGATGGTTTAATTGACCCCAGAGTTACGTCCCTTCACTGTTGCTTCAAAATTCTCCTTCACAATTGAATGCAGTGGGAAGAGTCCCATTAAGCAAACTTCTCTGGTGACTTGCTATCACCGCGTTTGTAATCTGGAGCGGAACTTGGGGAAACCAAACCAAATAAAACCCAAAGACGTGGCGGTGCGTGGTTTTCGCCTCTGCGTATTGCCGCAGCCAGGAGCAGTCGAGTGGCATAGCCTGTGGGGCCAGGACTGTGCAGAGGTCCCCGCCCGCTGCTGCTCCGTGGCCTCCACGGTTGCAGGTGGCTTTTACAAGAATCTTAGCTTGTTGGTGGCTCCAATAAGACAGGCGTTTTCAGCCTGGGCACTGTTGACATTTGGGGGCTGGTAATTCTTCATGAAGGTGGCCTGTCCTGTGCACTGTAGGATGTTCAGCGGTGTCTGTGGATTCTACTCCCTAGACGCCAGTGGCACCTCCCCAGCTGAGACAACCAAAAGTGTCTTCAGATATTGCCATATAGCCCCTGCGGTCAAAATCACGCTCAGCTGAGAACCAGTGACCTGAACTAAGAAATTAATATTGGTGCAATACGATTAAAACCAGTTGGCCTCGAGTGAGTTCTGATTCACAGCCACCGCAGGTATGTCAAAGGAGAACTATGCCCCATAGGGTTTTCCATGCCTGATTTTTCAGAAGTAGATCACCAGGCCTTTCTTCTAAGGTGCCTCTGGGTGGGTGTGAACCTCCAACCTTTTGGCTAGCAGCCAAGTGTGTTAACCATTTGCACCACCCAGAGACTCCACAGTAGTTACTCCTAACTAACAACAGAAACATTATGGCTACAGTGTTTTGTTTAGATTAGCCTTGGCCTCGCTGACATTTTAGCCTGGATGATTCCTTGTTCTCGGGGGCTGTCCTGTGCAGTGTAGGATGTTTAGCAGCATCCCTGACCTCCACCCCTAGATGCCAGGAGTACCTCTGAAGTTGTGACAACCAGATTTGTCTCCAGCCAAAACCAAAACCAAACCTGTGACCGATGAGTCGCTTCCAACTCATGGCACAGTAAAGCTGCCCCACAGGGTTTCCAAGGCTGTAATCTTTACGGAAGCAGATTGTCACATCATTCTCCTGTGGAGCGACTAGTGGGTTCAAACCACTGACCATTCGGCTAGCAGCTGAGCACTTAACCGGTGCTCGGTAAGATGTCTCCAGATATTGCCCGATGCTTCCGGGAGGCAAAGTTGGCCCTGGCTGAGAACGTCTGTACCGAGGCATACGGGAATGTGGCACCCTGCGCTCATCACTGCCTGGTGGTTTCTGTGCCTGCCCCAGACAGGTCAACAGGTGACCCACGTCTGCCCCCAGAGCACCTGCAGCCCTTCCTGGGTGTTCTGCCCTAAGTCATGATGCAGACTGCCTTCCCCAGGAGACGAATCTCATGGGTCTGAGGTTGTGTGGACTCTCGCTTTTTGGCTGTACAGGTAGTCCCCGACTTACAACAGGGTTCCGTTCTGCCGACTCTGTCGGTTCTTATGTCAGTTCTGACATAAGTTGAATACCTAATTTTTTTTGTTTTAGTTTTCATTATTATTGCCTTTTATTATCATTATCTTTATAAACCCGATCTTCACTTGTCTTTGAGGGCTGGCATGAGAACGATCGCATCAAATTATGGGCTGCATTGCTGTTTGTAGTACATATGACTAGCAATAAAATACACACAAAAAAACCCACGGATAGTTGTAAGTGCGGTTCGTCAGAACTCAAATGCATTATAAGTCGGGGACTGCCTGTATCTGAGACATTTATACCTTCTCCCCATCGCTGTCTTCTTGCTACAGAGGATGGCAGCTTTGAAGATCTCTGTAGAGGCTGTTTTCCTGTGGGGGGAGCTCCCTACCACATATTCAGCCGTGTTAGTATACAGCTGTAATTGTTCCTTGATAATTCAGTAGAGCAGCTAAAAGTATTCCTCAGGTTTAATTTTAAAACATGATC